CACAGCAGACCTCTTAGTCTTATTTGTCTTCTTCCCCCCTGCGTCTCCCTGGGGGGCTAAATTAAGTAAACTGCATTGCACCGAAACTGCGGTCTGGGGCTAACTTGCAACACAAGCTCGTGGCTTTGCTGGCACGCGATGCACGGAGACGAGACAATTGTTCCACACTACGCAATAAAGGATTTGCATATATTTGGGTATGCGCATTGGCATGCAAGGTTTTCTCATCCCTTCCAAAAACAATTCTCTGGTTTATGAGCCCAGATTCCAGCTGAGATCAAACCCACCATGTTTCGCAAAGAGAACTGGGTGCTCTTCTTGCTCCTCTATTGCTCAAAACACACACGAGCTCTTGCACCTACCATCCAAAGCAGCATATCACCATCTCCCCTTACAGGTAGGGATATGGAGGCACAGAGAGGCAGAGTGAATTGGCCCAGAGTGATACAGCAGGAGCAGATGCCGTTTTTCCTGATTCCCAGTTTGCTGTCCTCCCTCCCAGACCATGCCCGACCGGGACACAGCGTGGGGGGCTTCAGTTGAATCTGATATGTTGGAGAAGCCCTATTTGTATCAGCCCTGGATAGAGGGATGTACCCCTTCTTGTATCCCCCTGCCCACGGGGGGTTGGTGGTCTCATCACCTGCTCAGGAAGGGCTGCACAGCGCAAGAAGGTCCCAGGCACTCGGACACGGACCCCTTTGGTCCACGTTACCGGAGCATGCATCACCCCAAGGACTTGCTTCATTCCTCCTGGAAACAGCCACTGCAGAGGACAGGGCAGGCACGTTACACGCGTGCTCAGCAACCAGCGCCACCCACCACTGGTTTGAAGGAAATGGCGCTAACTGGCTCCCAATCCAGGGGCTTCTCCCTTTGGGAAAGGACGGCAGCTGCATTGCCCTGGGGGGCTCCTGCTACAAGCCCCCCCGAGTCCCTGCCAGCAGGGAATGGCAGGATGCGCTCATGGGTGCTGCCACCGGGCTTCTTGATCTAGGGAAGGCTCAGTTTTCACATCCTTTGAGCCCAGCTTGTATTGCCTGCTCTGACTGCTGTTTCTGTGCCCCGAAGAGGACAGGAGCACCGGGGAGGAAACAAAGCAAATCTGGGGATGAACCGCGAGCGCCATAAATGCCAGCCGTTGCAAGACACAGCGCCATAAATGCCACCCGTTGCAGGGATTATTCTGGCTGCTGTCTCCCAAGAGGAGGTCTAATGCTTTCGCAGGCGCCGGCAAGGAGGCTGAGGCATAGTCCATGAGTCAGACCCACCAAGAAAGTGAAACAAAAATAAATGCACGGCTTGTAAGAGATTAGCATAAGCAACGGGTGGCCAGATGCCACCCGGGGGCTGCAATGCAGAGCAAAGCTGCTCCTCCGTGGCCTTCTGGACGGCGGGGCCCGGAGGCCCTAGGGACAGGCACGGCAGCATCAAGTGGGCAGTGCAAGATTTCCTGGTGCACGTGGCTTACACGGGCTGGGAGCGGGGCTGTGCGTAAGAGGGTGCACAACCGAATCCCAGGGGGTACCTGAGATTTCCCACGGAGGCCTGGGGTGCAGACTGTCATGCATCTCCCCGCTGCATGGTACAACGGCAGTCACTGGGCTGATGCCGTTGCACCGGCTGACCCTCCCTCGGGACAGCCACCCACCCCAGGGAGCTGATGTGGCTGCAAACAGACAGGCCAGGTCCTCTCAGGTGAATGCGTTCTCGGATCTAATTAGCGCCGACCTTCCGGTCACCTCTTTGGCACGCTGCTGCAGCCCCTCGGGGCGTACTGTCTGCTGCCCTGGCAAACGGCGAAGATTTCGAGGGCCTTTAAAGGGCCGAACCAGGCAACCTGCCTCCAAGCTCTCTCCAGACAGATGGAAAGAAGAGCTGCCAGCTAAAGCCAGCCACAAGGCCTTGCATTGCACCTCCCTGGGAACATGTTTCCTTCCGACTTCCCTCCATGGTTTCACAGCCGCTCCTCCAACCCCAGCGCTTGAGCAACCTCTCACCGCCGCTGTAGCTAGTGGTCCCAAATGACCAGAGACTTCAGCTAGAGAAGGGGCCATCTTTTGGACAAAATGTTGCTACACTGCCACGCAGTTTGCTGTTATGATGGTCTGGGAGATATGAGAGCAGCCTCAATGCTACTAGTTGGGAGTCAGTCCCCTCCAATTCCAGCAAATATCCCCAAAACACGAGGTGGAAGGCAGCTGTCCGGGCTCTAGCCAGCTCCCCATGTGCTGAGGTGTGCGCACCCCGCGTACCACCGAAGTAGATCCAAAAATAAAACCTATGACCCCCTAGGATGCCCCAGTACTTGTCCTAGGGGTCATTATTTATTTTGCACGGTGCTTAAAATGCAATCAAATCAGAACACCCTGGGCACACCCTACTCACATCCATGAAGCATATGCTGCATAAAGATAAGAAACTGGTAAAAGAAACAATAAGAGTAGATATGTTGCTTTTCTACACCATTTCCACACCACCGGCCTCAAAGGATGAAGCAACGTGCCCATTTTACAGGTAGGGAAATTGAGGCGCACATGACTTCTCCAGAGTCCCCCCGACTGCTGAGCGGCAGAGCCAGGAATGACACTCGGTATCCTGTGTCCCAGACCACTGCTCTGCTCAGCCCGGTGATGGGGCTGGGAGGAGTAGCGTTGTGTGCGGGAGTCCAAATAACGGAGGCAGCCTTATCAATGCAGATTTTTACCCCCCAGACCTCAAAATGGCTGGGGCTTTGCTGAAATAACAAACCCTTGGCATTGGGTGATGGGGTGAGGCTCTCAGGTTGCATTTAAAAAGAAATAGGACGCTTCCAGCCTTAGCAGCTGCAGGCGACCACTGACAACGCGACCCCTTGACTCTTAAAAAATGGGCAAAGAGTCACTGGGCAGCTCCTGGTCCTACTGTCAGCAACTCAGCCAAAATCCCTATCCCCCTCACCTTTACTTATTTAAATCTCATGGTTTTGGGTGCAGGATGCTGATGGTGATTGGCAGGCTGCTTTGGTTTTCCGCCAGGCAGGACAAACATAGCTCCTAACCCTGTCTAAACTGAGAAAAAACTTCTCAGAGGCCTAAAGGCCACTCTAAACACGCCATTGTGAGGGTTCGCCAAGCAACGTCTCGAGTGCCCCGCGAGAACCGCGCTGACATAATGAAGAATCAGCAAAATCCATCACTAAACGCTCGCTCTGGTTTAACGCGGCCGCGCTCGAGCCAAGAATGTGCTCAGCTGTTCAGACCCGAGTGTGCCTGGAAGAGCTTGCACGGTGCCGTGGGTTATCTTTGGAGGTTTTTAATTACATCCTCCACTCGCTTTTCAGCCCAGCAAGACACAGCCCCACGGTCCTGTCTCAATGGATTTCTTTATAGCGTTTAATTGAAGGGAGTCAATTGCTTCAGAAGGGTTGATCCTATCGGATTTATACTTCGGTTTTGAACCGAGTACGGCG